GCTGAGGGAGGGAGGGGGAGAGCAGTCAAGGGCAGGGAAGAGAGTTTTCTTCAGTTTTTCAGCTTTAAACCCAGACTTTTGTAGCACTGGTACTTGTGCCCCTCATCTCACCCCCACCCCCCTCTCCGTTCTCCTCCTCACTTGCATCCGCCTATGAGTAAATCCTCTGGAACTTACTGGACTCGCTCGTTTTGTACTCATCTGATGGTGAGCCGTGAGAAATTTTATTGTTTGAGTGATAAAGTTTTGTTAGGAAAAACTAGTTCTCCCACCTTTTTCTTTGAAAATATCGTGTTTTTTCTTTGTTTTTGAGGATTATCTGTATGTTAATTCAAAGGCGACTGGTTTTTTTTTTATGACGCGATTTTAAGTGTCATATTTATCGTAAAAATCGATGGATTATTGAAAAAAATTTTTTTTCGGTGACCAGCTTAGGGATTTTCGTAGGGCTTGCATAGTCCATATTAAGTAATAGTGATATTTATAATAATATTTGTGCAAAATAATAATGATAATGATACTTATGATAATAGCAACGATATTTTTGCAGAATAATAATAATGATATTTGTGATAGTAATAATAACAATAACAGTAATAATAATGATAATAATAATAATAATAATAATAATAGTGATAATGATATTCATGCAAATTTTAAACCGGTGGAAGGAAATTTAAATTCGCGAAAGCGCCAGAAATACATTCAATTCAGGGTTTCGGTTTTTCACAGTCGCTTTTCTCCTAAAATTGCTCTCCGTCCTCGCACCCCCTCTGTTTGGCCTGTTTTGAGTTGCTCATGAGTCTTTTGCCATGATGCTTGCTCCAGTTCCATCCGAGCAAGCAAAGTATTTTCTTAACTGTGAAACATTTCTGGCTTTTTTTCCACAAAAATGTCTATATTGGCAGAAGTAATAAGTATTAAAAGTAACATTAACGATATTAGCAATAATAGTAACAGTAATAACGATTACGACGAAAATAATCGCTTATTACAACTTTAATAGTAATGAAAATGATAGTAATGATGATGTTGGCAATTGTAATAACAGCATTTACAATAATGATACTAATCATAAAACGGATAGTAACAGTGATAATAATAATAATAATAGTAATAATGATGATAACAATAATAATAACAGTAATGAAACATTGCTGATAATATAACATAATGTGTCATCAGTAATAGTGGCAATACCAGTAATAGTGATAATAACTGATAACGGTAATAAAAACCTGTAGTAATAGTAGTGCATTAACAGCACTAACAATAAGGATAGTAATGAAGACAATAATAGCAGTGGTAGTGATAATAATATTAATGGTGATGACAATAATAATGATGGTCGTAGTAATATAATGATGATTGTAATAATAATGATAATAATAATGATAATGATGATAATAGTAGTAATAATAAAGCATTGTTGGCGATGTGTGTAGTATCCGGTAGTAACAATAAGATCACTAATAGTGATAAAAGCTAATAACGATAATAAACACCTGTGATAGTAATGATGATAAATAATTTGCGCAGCTCACAC